ATAGCTGAAAACAAACACAAAACCAGGCGTATATACTTGTCCTGGGAAAATGCTAATGTCTCTTTCAGCTAAGTTGGAAAAACAGAAGGGAGGTATAAAAGTTCACTGCGATGGCAGCTAATGTAACCTTGAGCTCTGACAGAGGAACAGTAACAAAATCATGGATGGTTTTAGACCACAAGAGAATTTCCTGTGACATTGAACAATGCCAAGAATCCGATTCTTCCCAACTTCTAGTTTGCTTCTATCTTCCCTGGTGAGAATAATTTCCAAACTAGAAAGGATAAACAAATAACATAAGGAGATTACTGAAGTTCTAAACAGACAGAGATCCTAAGAGACACTTAGCTGCTTCAAATGAGTGTGAGTACCCAGACGCATCAGTATTAAGCATCATCAATGGCTTACATCCGGAAACAAGCTACAATAGGAAACAAGCTATAATAAAGTAGCCTGATTTCGATGGAATCTGTTGACTTACCACTAAAGGGGTAATCACAGGAAAGCCATAATCAAAAGATAGTGTAAATTTAAAAGGGCAGTGGATAAAGTACTCCTCCATATTATTCTCACAGGTATATTGGAAAGAAGTAGCTGACAGTTCTGTTAAGTGGCTTCAATGGTGGTAGAAACATCACCCATAAAGACTGCTACTTTTACATTTGTGCTAAGCCAAAGAGAGGTTCTTTAGAGACACATCATGGTGTGTTGAATTCCAGTTATAGAAAACATTCTTACTAAATCTACAGATGATGAAGAGAAGTGACTCTGTTGGAAGATAGACTTAAGAGACATGAAGATCTAGATAGATTATAAATATAGGCTAAAGCGAATAAGATGAGATGTAATAGGAATAATTTAAGTTCAAGCAACACATTTACACGTACCACATAGGGAAAGCATGGCTCCACCTGTCATGGAAAAAAGAATACCTAGAAGTTTTGAGTATCAATGTGAACCAATGCCATTATACCACCTAGAAAAACTTGACCTGTATTAAGGTAGGATTTAGATCAACAATAACAATAATGTGATAATTTCATTGTATCATGTTTTAAATAGCTGCTGTTTTATTTTCATTTTTATAATATGTGTCCATTGTAGAATCCTGGAAAATGCACATAAGGGAGAAGAAAATAACGATCACCCACAATTCCACCACTCAAAAATGAATACAGTTTACATTGTGGTGTTTATCATTCCAGACTTCTTAATGCACATTATAAATGTTCACACACACTTATTTTTTTTTCTTAAAAAAAGTAGGATCGTACTACACATGCTATTTTGTAACCTGTTTCTTTGGTTTTGCTTTTTTAATTCAACAGTACATCGAGCCCCAATGTATTCTACATTGGTCTAATGACAGCTAGCGCATTTTGTCCACTTCGGCTTGCTACACTTCAAGAGAGACATTGCAAACTTTGAGAATATACAAAGAAAGAAAAATAGAGCAGTAAAAAGTATGAAAATCTAAGTCCACCTAATCTGTAATGCCACATGACAAAAAGTTTCTGGAAATACGGTACTTCCATGAAAAAAAATATAGAAGTTTTATAAGAAAACAAAATAGCTAAATGCATTTACCTTAAGAACTGTCCTGGCAGATAAATTAAACTAATACCAACTGCTGGAAGTTAAAGGGAAGTGGATTTCAACTCAGTAAAATGAATTTTTTAAATAATTAGAGCTTTCAAAAATTGAACAGATCTAATCACTGGAGGGCTTCACAGGGCTGGAGTAACTCATTGGTAAAGGATGTTAGAGGTAATTCCTCTAAGTGAGATGTTGAATTAAAAGGCCCCATTCTATTTGAAGATTCTGTGATTCTAATGGAAAACCTACTACAGAAATTTACTCCCAGTCCATAGTCATTAAGGTCTTAAGAAATAGAGTCCAGTGCTTTAGAGATGCATGAGAAATTCCAATAACACTAATGGTGAACACCAATGTGCTAAATGACGTGCATTCATTGCTTAACATCTCATTTAATCCTTACAACAACCCTGTATGGTAGGTGCTATTGCTATTCCCACTTTATAGAGGAGGACAGTAAGGCTTGGAGCAATTTTATATTTATTAAGGTCATTCTTACTTTTGCTGAAAAGTTCAGCTGTCACCCAAGAATACCTGACTCCCCATCATAATAGCCACTGCTCTCTTAGTAGGCAATATGTAATCAAAAGCATCTTCACACAGTTTCTTAACTGGTGATCCCTCAAAGGGCAGTGATGAGGTTTTTTTTTAATTAGAAAAAAATTTAAGGTTTTTAAATTATGCATAGCAAAAAAATATTCAGATACACCTTAAACTTTTGAAAATAAAACATTCAATGAATAACACATAAGATGTAGTGGAGCAAATCTGAATCACATTACCGCACATCTTTAGTACTTTGCCAGTACTAATTATGGGACCTTGGGCAAGTTCTTGGTCTTCCTATCTCTTTGGTCCTTCATCTGTGAAATGAGGACCGACCACTTAAGGTTGACATAGAATTGAATGAGATAACACACGTAAGCATTTCTCATAGGATCGATCACTACTATTACACAACACAAGTAATAAATGGTGGGGAGAGACAAACCCTATTCCACAATTCATTCCAAAATATTTTAAAATTTTGAAGGGTCATCATGTTTGAAGTGGAGAGGGTCACATTTTCCATTATCCTATAAATAAATTTCTGATGACAATCATTTATGAAATAAAGTGACAACTAAATAAACCGTGCCTTCTCTCAGGAATTCCATTTTATGCAAATGATCACCCGAAGAATACAATTTCAACTCCCATTTTCTTCAAAGACACTGTTTTCGTTGTTTATTCAGTATGAGGTAGAAAAGTGCAAATTTATAGGTTACTGGGTTTGATTCTGATTTTTACAACTTGGTTCACACTGCTCTAATGAACATGTTTTTTTAGTTTCATTGTTTTCTACGTGCATTCTTGTTGTAGAGTTACTGCTACTACCTCTGAAAAACAGCAAAATAGAAAACCTCTCATTCAAGAGGTACATTGTGGGTCACAATTTTGAGATTTAATGTTTACTAACATTAAATAGTTGGTATTATATTCCTAAAATTTGACATCTATTCTTTTTTAAAATGGCACAAACTACAGTGGGAAGGGCCACGGGGGGGGGGAGGAGGGAAGGAGACATATATAATACTCTTTGTAATACTTTAAGCAATAAAACAATTAAAAAATGGCACAACTGAGAAAGTATTTCATAGATACCTGCTGACCACAAAAACAAGCTTTTTTTTTTAACTATCTCAATGAAATTAACTGGAGTTCTCCCTGTTCTCAAAGAACTCTTTAATGTTATTCCAAAGGAATTGATTATTTTTAGAAACCTATTTTAACCACATAGGTTTCTAGCCATATTTAATTTTATAACTGATACGTCACTCTGGCAAAAATTTATTTTACCCGCAACTTAAAACTGTAACCAGATAACTGCTTTTGTATACATTATCTGTGACTAAGGGCACTTACTGGAGCTATAATCTAAAATATGTACACATTATCTACTTGTGCATGGAAGTGGAAATTATTTAACAAGGGAGTATACACAGGAGTCATCACTTCTAAGACCTACTGAAAAAACATGTCCCCAAAACATTCATTGTTCTGAAGTGAACTGTCATTCCAATAAAATGTCACTGTCAACAAGTATAGATGTTCACTTACGGAGCTTTTTTGAATCCCAGCAACTATTTTCCAACCAAATTCATTTCACGGTAACACGAATGTTTTCATTTACCCTATTAGCCAGGACTGCAATTAACTGCATTGTCTGACCGCTACAACATATGAGAACTGTATAAAGAAAACATTGTTATCGTCCAAAAGTTTGTATTAAGCACATGTTAGGAGTAGCACAGAACAGCTTTTTAAAACCATGAAAATCACTTGGGCTTTTAATTTTTTTTTTACAAGTACAGCTGAGTTGCCTAAGAGATGGGGTAAAGATATGAATAATGCCTCCCAAAATATCCAGGATACGTGGAAAAGCCATGATTTTAGAAACTAAAGAGCTTTCCTTGAATTTTATCTAGTGACTACTCTTCAGGCGTCCTTCCTCCCAACTGATCTCATTTGTCCATCAATTCAACTTTTGCCTTCTGCAAGAGAAGGCAGCAGCAAGCAAAGGCTGTGGCTTTTGCAGGGTAATTGCAAAACTAAGTCAATAGTTTTTTAAATGTGTAAATGATCCCTGCTATTTCTAAAGCACTGCTTGCTGAATAAAGACCTTGACATTTTTTTTAAAATGTCATCCTAGAAAGATTCTCCAAGCAGTATCAGCCTCACCTGAAACATTTCCACATTAAAAGGCCTCTCCCATGTTCCAAATACAGTAAGTATCCCAATCCTGAGATATAAAATAACTAAGTTTCCACTCAGCTATATCCAGGTAACAAAGTGCTGCTGGGCTGCCTCATCAAGTTCTATCCACACCCTGTACTGGTGCCATCTCCTCGAAGGCTCACTTTCTTCATCCTGTGGGCTCATAGCCCAGAGCAGAGCAAATGCCTTCTGCAAGAGCAGGTAGCGGCAACCCAAGGCTGTGGCTTTTGCAGGGGTAATTGCATTCACGCTATAGCTTCTCCGCCAATCTCATTTAAATAGATACACATGCACACAACAAGGCTGGGTTCGAGGCTGAAGCTAGAGAATAAACACGGATGGAGAGCAGGTGGAACACCCATTTCCTCCCAGCAACACTAGCCCAGGTCCAAGTTCTGCACCACGGCTGAGAAAAGTAGCTACTGGCGCATTGATGGAAGGCTATTCTAAAATTACTCCAAGAATCCAAGGCGTCCATCTGACCGGGAGGCTCGAGCAGGCTCCTCTCCATCCACACACACTGGGTCCCTGTCTAATTTAAGAATGAACCGCTGGCCGCCAGCAGGTGCCGTTACCCCGAGGAGCAGCGCGTACCCATCACCCTGCTTCAGGAGGGAGGCAATCCCGGAGCGGGCGCCCGTCCTTACCTGAGCAGATTCGACAGGGGCAGGGGTCCGGATCCACCGCCCAGGATCCCTCCTTTCCTGCCAGACAGGAGTTTCTCCACCAGAGCCACGTTGCCCGTGCGAGCCGCTTCCAGCAGCTCCTGGTCCTTCCCCATAGTCTCTTCCCGACTCCTTCGCGGAGTCCTTTCCCCCTCCGGGCCCTTCTCCCCGCCCACCCCCCACTCCCCCAAAATGCAGGGCCCTCCCCGCCCCACCCGAAGAGAATGCCACCCGGCTGCTTCGGAGGAGCG